CCGCATTATGGATATGGAGCAGTTCAGGTACAACCCAGTAGATCTCATTCCTAGAAGACGTTCCTAGAAGACGCTGTATACTAAGAGACATTGTCGTACCCCTTTAGGACTTGAAAATGCGTGATAGGGACGTCAGGGGTCTGCCGTGCTTGTCTAGCTCCGCCCATAAGTCGGTCTCCACCCTCGTCTGTTCAATTCACAACCGCTGTTTAGGGCATGGGGTGGTTTCGCTCCTACTTTTCTCTCTCGCCATTTAGTTGTCTCCAGGACCTCTTGAATGAAATCGCGGGTAGTCCCTCTAATAGTCCAGTATAATGCAACAGGTGGGACACTTGCCTGAAAGAATCAGGTTCGTGGTTCAAGTCACGGCTCATGGTCAGAGGGATAGGGCTTCTCCCACAACCCAGCACTTTCACAATGTAACCCATGCTGTGGGATGCGCTCAGAAACAGCAATGGGGAAAATCCTCAGAATTTCTCCTAGATTTTTGCGATGATCGTGTTGCCAGACACAAATCCGCTTACCCTAACTCGAGACGGCCTGAATTGAGGGCTAACTTGTTCTCAGCGCTTGGAGAGCGTGCGTTCAATAGTGACCAGAGACTCTCAACGGGAGTCGACAAGTGAGGCAAGAGCGCCAGTGTAAAAGCAGCTGCCAGCTCGTGGGCATGGTAATTAGTGTGGGCGGAGTTTCTGACAACCACAAGCCGCTAGCGTCCTTGTCACGCACATTCTAGACTACTGCGTACGTACGCTACTTATACAAGGAGGGAGTCGGACCTCTCAGTAATAGCGATATGTGTCTTTAGTTTTGCAGAATTTCTAGCGGTAACGTTTTCTCTTTCAGATTTCACCGCCAACGATCACTTGATGTTCACAATTAATGGCGACGTTCCTTGGTATGTGAGGTAAGCGATCGAAATCCTTCTATTAAGGCCCCATTGTTCTTTGACTTCAGCAGTCTTTTCCGTGGGACCTCCAAAAGTGTTGAAACAAAACTCACCAAAATGAGGCATCAACAGATGCAAGCTCACTAAGTGAGGCAGCAAGGCTAAATGAGCTTGTTTATGGGTATAACTTGATAAAATAACTGGCAGAAAGAACCAAAACTGATGGAAATTTGGCTGTGCCGCTTTAGAACTTACCACCACACCCCTTGACACTCTCCAGCATCCGTAGCGAACAAGACTGTTCGTACATATTACATCGAGATACACTCGAAATACCTGAGATGAGGTAGGCGTGGCTGCGTACTTCAATTAAACGTCGTTTTGGCTATGCTTTTCGAGAGATATTTTCATTTTGAACGCCAAATGTGGTCCACGTCGCTCTTGTCCCAAAAGAACAAGATTGGCGGGTGTCTCCAATTGGAAATATCATACGAGTATCAGTTTGGGCATGTTGAATGGCCCCGCCTATCCTAGTCGGCAGGATAAGGAGTATACTCATTGTTCTGTTGTTAACATAGAAAAAGTTATAAATTAGTTGAAAATAAATGTGGAACTTGATGCAAATTTTGGGGAGCTATATTTTTTTCAAACCCTATCGCGCAGTCGCAGTATCGTAGGAAAAGGCCCATACAAAGTTTTAAACTTTCAGATACCAACCTGTGAGCTACAAACTCATTTCACGGAGTGGAAATGAGGAACAGTTTGCAAACATGGTGGAAAGGTGTAATCGTGCTGGCATTAGGTAAGGGGTGTTTTGCTTTCAGAAGGATTTCCCTTGCCTCTTATCAAGCGTCATCAGTTCAGAACATAACGAGGTCAAGAATAAGTTCCGCAAGAGAGTGACCCCGCTTCAGAGAAAGATTGTTGCCAGAATCTTTTTACTTGCGTTGCTACTTTGGCGGCGCGCCCTCTCCCCCCCCCCCCTTTTCGCCAGGCCATCACCAGCGATCATCAGCTTTTCGAGCGTTTGTCAGCGCCAGCGACTAGGGACAGTATAGATACCAATCTCAGCGTCTATCAGCGTTTAGCAGCTTCTAGCTGCGTCCACAGTAACCATCACCGTCCCGAAGGAAAGTGCGGATTTTTTGCTAGCAGCTTCCACCACTGACCACCAGCGAGCAGGAGTAGAGAACATGGGGAAATAGGAGGGTAGCAGACTGCTGGCAGTGTACAGCGGAGGAGGAGGAGACAGCCGGATTGGGCGTCTGAAATTGCGTCGTGTGCAACCCACCGTACACCGTACTCCTGGTCGCTGTCGCTTGCGGACCCTGGTGGACGCTGGCAGACGGTGGATCGATATCCATACTTCCCTAGTACTCGATGGTCGCTGGCGGACGCTGGTAGGCGCTGTGTCGATGCGCGAGGGATGAGCGCAGCCTCATCCAAAGCTTCTTCAAATACTAATGCTTGTTTGAATATGGATTATTTCAGAATAATAGTAGACGTTGTATTGAATCATATGGTTGGAGTGAATATGAAAAGTGGCGAAGATGGACGATACTCGAGCGCTGGTAGCCGACTTTGACGGTCGCGAGAAGAGCGTTGTGGAGAGCTTCCCTGGAGTGACTATTTCTAAATGTTTGGAAAAGATAGTTCAAAATTTAACGAAAATGCGACTTAGGTGCCTTATACGAAAGTTGATTCCAATGATTACCGCTGCAAAAGAGGCATTAAGGATGAAGATTATCAGCGCAGTGCTGTAAACGTAAGCGATCTATTCCCTTTGCAGAATGAACAAATGAAGCAAAGGAAAAATAATATCACAATAAATACGAGAAAAATGATTGAAAAATTGAGTAGAAAGCATAATTATCGTCTTTTCCAGGTGAGAAATTGTCGTCTTACTTCTCTGCTGGATTTGGATCAAGGCCGCCCTTGGGTACGGAAAATGATGACTGGTTACCTCAACAAGTTGATTGAGTACGGTGTCGCGGGCTTTCGGTAAGTAGGCTTTGTGTTTCGATTCAGACGACCCATCTTAAAATATAGTGCATTCCGTATCCCAGGGATGGAGAGGGCGTGTCCTCGTATTCATTTGGCGGCGAGTATTGAGGGATATTGCCGCTTTTGGGCAGTGGTAGTCATGTCTTATGGTCAGGTCAGCACAAGGCAGGATGACACTTGTCTCGAATAGGAATGTCCTATGAAGGCCACCCCATGTTTAAATAAAGTGCGCAGCCATTCCCCCCTCATCTGCAAGGTATGGTGAATGTCCGTATGTTTTTACGCCTATGTGTCACTACACTGACTACAATCAGGGCACTTTGGGGATCCCGGCAAGGGGTGAGGGGCGCATTTGGTTGCTGGGAAACAGGGGTCGTATTTGCCTCTGCGAAAAATAATTTTGATTAATGACTTCCCTTGGTTCTTTCTGTTTCCGTTCTGTACCTTCTGAAGGGTGAGAGCGACTCCGGTAGCGTAATGGTTAGCGTACTCACCTAATAAGCGGAAGATGCGGGTTCAAGTGCTGTCTGGGGTCTGACTTTTGCTCATAACTCAGCATTCTTGTGACAACGAAAAAAAATTCCTCAGGTTTCTAACTGAACCGAATGTTTCTCCCACCTCTGCGTGAGTTGGATAATGTTGATGTGCAGTGGTTTTCGCTGCAGACGCTGGGGCGCGTCAAGGGTTGGGACTGGAGCGGCACCAACCCCTTCTCCACCAATCGTAGAAGCGGTCAAGCGACATCGAGTGCTAGAAAATGGGTTGGCGCTGCGCTAAACTCGCCCCCCCCCCCTCCCTCACGCGCCCCAGCGTCTGCAGCGAAAACGACTGACTGAACATGCTCAAGAATAGGTGGAATAGGTGAATGAAGGAGCCACTGTTGTTGACTTATCATTACACTCGTTGCAGCATTGATGCAGCGAAACACATGTGGCCAGGAGATCTGAAAGAGATTCTTGGAGCTACAAGGAATCTCAGAGAAGATGTAAGGAACCTTTGTTTGATCTTACTCAATAAGAGTCTTGCGGCGGCCAGTTCGTCGGCGTCCTTGCTTGTTCAGATAGTCTGGTTCCACAGGCTCTGTGATTATCCCACTTTCGCGGCTTCGCAAGTAAGTAGTGAAGGCACTGCAGTCCTCAGAAGAGTTGATGACGCGAGTAACGATTAGTAGGCCAGGGGAATATCGCTTTGCATAAAACGAACAGGTCCGGAGAACTGAGCTGCCAGGGGTTTCCTCGGGTGTTCTACCTGATCTTTTTGCTTTTTTCCTTTAGAGGGTCGTTCAGCGACCACTCCTTTCAGTGGAAAGCCACTGTCCACAGCCTACGATCGCGGGTTTGTCTTAAAATACGTAAACTCTTCCTACCATATACAACTAAGTACTTGTGATAGTTAATGTGGGCATGTCCACCCCTCTGTCCAATAAATTTTGCTACCATACTTGTAGCACAGCTTGTAAATCCCGTTGGGGCGCTAAGATTTCGAAGATTTATAGCTATTTTTAGCCAACGGATGCGGAACTATATTTCAAAAGTGGAAACTATTGAAGTTACTCCCAGTGGTGGTCCCAGTGACTTTTTTTTCTAGATTTTTGGCCCGAATGAACGTCCATTTGTTTTTCATGAAGTCATCGACAAGTCTGGCCACGAAGCAGTTCAATGCCACGAATATGCACCCATTGGCAGGTAGTGGATCGACATTAAGTAGTACATTAAGATCATACACACGTGTAAAAATTAATGGACTTCGAGCGCTAACTAGTTCGAGAGTTCAGCGGGCGAAGTGCGGCTCTAGAGAAAAGGCTCAGATCGTGCTCATAATTTACCGGCCTGGAGAATAGGAGGAGAAAGTCGTTGATTTGTGGTGCACTCCTATGAGGCGGGTTCTCCTAAATCACTCATCCTCCAAAACTCCCGTTCTCCTGTTCTCAAAACAACTGTTCCTTGGTGTGCATTATCCTGTGAATCAGTTCCTGTATCATAGAATACGAACGCACACTTCATATCCCGGAGATGGAGGGGGCAGAAAGCAACACGGGAGAATCTACAAATTTTCTCAAATCAATAACAAGAATGGGTAAATATCGCGCAAGCGACAGGAGGTGGTAAGATACATCACCTGCCAGTAATATTACGGAAAGCGGGACATTCGCCACTCACTCTGGTCCTCTTGTTATGAGGACTTTGTTGCTCTGAAAAATTGCTCTCAGAAAACTATTCAGGTACACGAATTTCAATTACGGTCTGGCTGTTACACGAGCTCTCAGAGGCCAGGCTAATTGGAAGTAATTTTTTGCATTGTATCTTTTTAATGACTTTTGGCGCAGTTTAGTACTTTGGGCACAGAATGCGGAAGTTGTACAGGTGACCTGTGGGTTCTTGAGATCAAAAAATATATTCTTTCTCCTTTACACCCAAGGCACCTCATCGTTGTATGATCACAACGGGGGGGGGGTCGAATTTGATTGGTCTGGGAGGGAGGGGTCGTATTTGGTCTAGAAAAATTTTTTTCGATAGTTGATTCCTCTTGTTTCACGGACGCTATAGAGGAGGCGGGGAGGGGGTCGTATTTGGTCGTTGTGCGGAGGTGGGGAAAGGACAGGGGGCCCAAAAAAAAGTCATTTCGGCGCGATACCACATATCAACGAGTTTGTCGGCGAAGCACAGACAGGGAAGTGGATATGAATACCAGGGTGGAAGATACCCAAGATCTTCCTCTATAAGCTGGAGCAGGCTGCCGCCAATCGCCTTCATGTACACCAAAATATGAAGTCATCTCCAGTCGCGGCCTGACTGGAGAACACCTTTGGAATTCATGTCACCTCCAAACAGCTGCGAAACTTCTAGTATGGAGTCATTCGATAGCTACCTGGAGACCAGTACTCTCGATCTGGATGATCTCCAACATCGAGCAGCTCCGACAACGTCGCCACAGTCTAGGACATCATCTTCACCGTGGCCGCCGAGGCGCGAGTTGATGGTATGGACGGGGGGTAACCGGAGTGGGAAAAAAAGACCGAATATTTTCTTTGTAGACCCGAACTGAAGGTGAGCGTTGGTAGTTACATCAAGCAACTCGAGAAGAATATCCTCCCCACATGTTGTCGCTCGTACCTTCTTGGAGACCGTGTACTGCTACAGGCTCTCTCCTACTTCGAATGGAAGGGCGCTGAGTACCTGAAGAAGATGGAATATCCAAGTAGGTCACCTGACCTGAATCCCCTCAATTACCCGGTTCGGGCGGAGTTCAATAGGGTGGCGGAGAAATCGACTATCTCGCTGATCTCAGGCACCACATCGCGGTCGCGTGCCAGAATCTCTCGATGGCGCTCCTCCAGAAGGCTGTGGCGGAGTGTCATGATAGTATTTAATATGCTCTTTAATATGGTGGTAAAAATGTCCGATCAGAATTCAATAAAGTGTAACTTATAGCGCCTCGAAAGTCAATGAAGCAAAGTGACTTTTTTTTGGCCCCCCTGTAGATCTTTGGCAGTTCCTCTCCCAACAACGATCAAATGCGACCCCCTTTATAGCGTCCATGAAACACTAGAAATCAGCTATCAGAAAATTTTTTTCTCAGACCGACCTCCCCCCCCCATCCCTCACTTTCAAATACGACCCCCTCCTGTTGTGAATTACAACGATTGCGCCCCTTGGCGGTGCCGCGCTCGACAGACTAGTTATCCTGTCTGACCGTCTGACTATGAGCGTCAAAGAGATGAGAAAATTCGATATCATCTGCCAAGGACTCCTGCATTAGCTTGAATTCGTATCAGTTCTCAAGTCTATAGTCAGAAGTCGCCACACAGGCTGTACGGCACGCGGCGACGCGACAAATTACGACCGTCTTGTCCGTCTTCCATTCCCTTCGGCACAGCACTCACTTTCGACCGTAATTGATCCAACGATTAGCCGCGTAGTTAGGTCAATAGCTCCAGAGAGGAATCCCTACAAAGGCATAGGAAGTGCGGAGCGTCGATTCCTGTTGCGGTATCGCAGCACGAGTTCACTCAACAGATTGAGTTGCGAGAGAGATAGATGCGCAGCGCTGCTGCCATGTTGAATGGATTGGGTCCTGGTGCGAATGCTTCACACGGTCTAGTTCACTGCGGATGCTTGAGCGTGTCAGGAAGGCTGAGTATGGCGCGACACTGGCTATTTCGGCGGAGTTTGTCGACGGGGGGCATTCTGCTTTCCATAGATGTGCCGACCCATCTAGGTAGCCTTTTCTCGAGTTGACACGTTTTAGGATGGTGGCTAGACGATCTTGCACCAGCTTCACAAGGGTTCACAAGTTTTACCAGAGATTTGTAAACCGGAACTAGGGAAGCAATGGTAGTACAAAATGCCCCCCCCCCGTCGACAAACAGCGCTGGCTACTTCTAATCCTTGAAGGGGGGCAAGCGACAACAGTTGGTGGAAAATGGGCTGGTGCTGCCCCAAGTCCAGCTTCCTTGCCACGCTGTAAGGCTTCATAACCAGATATCTGGGAATCTCGCTCGCCTGAATCGCTCGAGTTACATAGTTTAAACGCAACCTTGCTGAAAGGCTGTAGTATCCCAACTGGTTCATTGCCAAAAGACCCACTTTTCAGACAAAAGCTGCCCATAAGAAGAGTTCCACCACAATAGAAAGGGAGAACCTAGGCCTGACAAGGCATCCAGTGCCAAGGGAACGAGGACTTTCCAAGACTTCCTCGGGCTCCCGTCGATAACTTCTTGCAGTCCTCTTTGTTCGCAGCCGATGATGGGGCGTGTCAGTGAGGCCGGGTTGAGCACACCGCCAGCTCGTTCTCAGAAGCGGGTAACCGAAAAGCACAGGTGGAAAACGCCTGGTACAAATGATATGATGCAATCTTGTCGCTTGCCAAAAGAAGGAAAGGGGCCGCGCTGCGCCAAACCCATCCCCTCTTGATACACTCCATCGTACACGGCGAACAAGATTGTAGATGTACGACATTTAGATCCACATGAGACTTCGGCAAGCATTATTTTGTGTGGAAATTCATTCCAGGGATTTTTCCAAATTCGGTGAAGGCTATGGGAACTGCTTCGGGAATGACAACGAAGTGCTGAATTTCATCGATAACCATGACGATCAAAGAGGCGGCTATGTGGTTAGTTGAGAGTTTCGCTTTAATTCGTAGTAAATATGATGTTGCTGCTTAAAGCAAATCAGCCCTAAATAGAGTAAAAATGAGAAAAATCACGGTTACTGCTCTCTTGATAGGGTAGGTCCAATAGGAATAAGCAGTCACCAGTATTCCGTGTCTCGTATCCGGCTTGGTCGTGCGATTGCAAGAAGTCATTGCGCGCGAATTGAATACGTAATGAGTGTTGATTTCAAGAGACGGGCGCGGCGGCTCGGTGCACTGTCAACTCGGTACTGGCCCTCACTAACGTGATGTTGCAGGCGCGTATTACGGTAAGCCGGATGTGACGCTGGAAGCCGTCTTTCAGCACCCACTGTCTCTTCAAACTAGGCTTTTGCCCCCGCCCCCGGTGCCTGCTTTGTCATTTGGGGTGTGTGGGAAGGAGCGGGGGAGAAACCGAAGTATACCTTAGGGTTGTGTCCTGGGGGTTAATGCCGGGTTTGACTCGCAAGAATTTCGGGCACCGAGCTCATTTTTGAAATTCACACAGACCATCTTGCGTAAGAGACTTGTACTAGGAGGGTTAGTTGAACATTCTTGATATAACGGAATTGAGCATTCATGTTCTTTGTCGCTGGCGGGCTAATGGGGGGACACTCCACCCGATTTATCTGGGGTTCTGCTAGAGGCTTGAGGCCTCAGCGACATAATGAGGGGGGGGCTTAAGTGTCATCCATCAGCGCCAGCGACAAATGAATGTCATATTCGTAATCAGGATGTTAAACTACCCCTATATACAAGTTTTTAGCGGATTTGGTGACTTAGGCAATTTAAAAATGAGCTCGGTGCCGAAATTGCTGGAGTCCAAACGGCATTAGCCTGGGTGCATGTACTACCCCCGAAAATTGGGCGTTCGATTAATTGTGTTGGTCGTAAATGCACACAACGGGGCGCAGGGCTACGTGGCCCATCCAGATTCTTTGCGTGGACTACGTTAATCCGACCACGAGCGGGTACCTGCCTGGGTCGAGCAGGTCGCTACCCAGGTGGCAGCCCCACCCAACGAGCTTCCTCCCCCCTGCCATAAGACGAGCTATTCGACGTACCTCAAACATGGGTAATTAAACGGGGTTACGGTTGGCGGTGGCCGATTGTAGGGACATTTTTAACTTCACGCGCGATTTTCGGGGGTACTGTACGCAGCTTGACAACCTGAACTTATAACCTTGTGGACCAGAAACCCTTAGTGGCGGGCGAGACTGCAGTCTAATAGGCCGAGGAAGCAGTAGAACTAGGGTTACGGGTACGCAACCTGGTACGGTAGAAATAGTATGGGCATGAGCATTAGTTTGAACACTCTCATGGTTCTGATCAGTCGTACGTTAGAAATTAAAACGAAGGGGTCGTATCTGCTCGCTCGAGGGAGAGTGCTGGAGGAGGGGGGGGGCGGTGTATTTGCTTATAGAAGTAAGTTTTTCAGTTGTTGACTTTTCTCTGTTTATTCCGTTCCACGTGCGCTATACCCCCAACCTCCCGCCCACTTGACGGCATTTGCACAGAAAAAAGTCGAAGAATTCCCTGTAAGAATTGCAGAAAAGTTGTAAGAAGATGGGAACATTCGGGAAAATGGTAGGTGCTATGGGAGACGGAAAGGGTCATTGTATCAGAGGAGGAACTTTGAGGGAGGGCGTTGTAACCTGCAGAACTTTTCCCCAAGGCAGAACGTGCCCTGGTTCTAGCGCATTCTTCGCCACTTTTTAGAATTTAGCACGTTCACGGCTCCTGACACGGATGCCTGGAACATGGGTAATCTTTCGCTCCTATTGCCATCCCGGGACAGGAAACCAATGAGTCAGCGAATAGTCAATTGGTCTGGAGATACGCGTAGCACGGGCACATCGCGAACGTAGCCAATGTTTAGTCCTTATAGGGTGTGAGGTGCGATGAATTTTGCATGTCTACTGCCAGTCTGACTGTAACCCACCGCCTTCATGTTCTCGCCTCACAGTAAGACTGTTGACACGCCCTTCCCTTTTTCCGTGATATGTGCGCCAACCTGAATAGCCTTCCTAAGAAGTAGAACTTCCAAGTTGTGATATAGCAGTGGGCGTTCACTCATAAAACTCAATCTTTCTGCCTCTCCATTCCGTTTCTTCGGGATAATTTTGAAGCTGCAAATGTTGAATTTTCCTAAATTAATGCAACAAAGCGTCTGAATTTAGCCTCACCTACAAGACTGGAGCTGTACAAATTGGCAGTGGCGTACATGTTGGCCTGGTCATATGGATATCCAAGAGTCATGAGCAGTTATTATTTTACAACTCGTGACCAAGGACCGCCAACAGATGGAGTGCCCCCAAAGTACGAGGTAAGGCTGAGTTAACACCATGACGTTAGTGGTGGTTTGGTAGCATGCAGTCATGAGCTTGCAAACGATAAAACCTGTGGGGAGCATGAGTTGAGACGAGCGGGATATCGTTTCGCGCCAACCTTTGCGGACTTAGAGTTGCACCATTGGTGCGAAAGGCCGCCTTAGCAGCGCTCTAATCCACGCCTTTCACACGCCCTATCGTTTGCAGGAATCACATGTGCTTCTGTGTATACATTTTTCGCCTCGATGAGCGGTGTTTGTTGTACAGAGGGGATGGTTGGCTCGGCGCCACGTCGTTTTGCCGTCTTTTCTTTCGGACAAGCGGACACTGTTGTATCTATGTACGCTCGTATCAGGTCAGTTTCCACCACGCTATCGCCTTACAAAAGCTTTCCTACTGTGGGAGAACAAAACTGGCCGCGTGCCAAAGCCTTAGCGTCGCTTACACGCCCATCTTGTCCGCCAGAAATAAGACTACAAGGCCTCAAAACAAAAACAGCCATTTCGACCTGCCAGCCTTCCGTGCTGAGACCCCAGAAATCCAAAAAAATTCGTATCGTATTTCAGGCTAGATCACCACAATTTGACCGGGAAAATAAATGTACAAAAGTCTGGGTTGTGTTGGTCGCACACCGCTCGCCTTCCATAAGGTATGCAAGATATTGCTTCATTACAGAACGCGAAGAACTCTGCGAAACGTTTTTTCCTAAATCACTTCTTTCGATCATAACCAGCTGATTTCAAACAGTGGTGTGCTATGCAGTTCAATTTACAAACAGAGAAAAAAATATAGGTCTGAAATTGATTGCGTTGGAAAAAAATAGTTTGTAATAGGGATGTCAAAAAACGTCACAGAAGTTGTGAAAAAAAAATAAAAATCTTGATCGCCCTAGAACTAGTCCTGGCTGTCGGGGTGGGCCTTACGGTGGTGACACAATTTAGATATTTAAGTGTCCGGTGTAAAAAGTGTGATGAATTTTAATCGAAAGGAGGTGAATTCGAAGTGAAAATTTATATACAGGGGGAGGGTGCAAGCAAAAAAAGACATTTCCTCGGCTTTCAAGGCGAAATAAGTTTCATTTTACCAACTCATAATAGGACATTTTCACCACAAAATTCAGCAACACATTGAAAACACGAAACTCGCCTCAGCCACAGCCTTCTGGACGAACGCCATCGAGAGATTCTGCCACGCGACCGTGATTCGGTGCCTGAGTTCAGCGAAGTCGCCTATTTCCCCACCACTATTTCTCCTCCTGAACCCAGTAATCGAGGGGGTTTCAGGTCAGGTGACACACTTGGATATTCCGTCTTCTTCAGGTACTCAACGCCCTTCCATTCCAAGTAGGCGAGAGTTTTTCCAACGCCCTTCGATTCCATGTGGTGGCACCCAATCCTGTAGCAGTACGAAGTTTCCAAGATGGTACGGGCGACGACATGAAGGCAGGATATTCTCCTCGAGCTGTTCGATGTAACCGTCAGCGCTCACCTTCAGTCCGGGGTCCACGAAGAAAATATCGGTCTTTCCATTCCAGGTACGTCCGGTCCATACCATCAACCCGCGCCTTGACTGCGTGAAGATGATGTCCTAGACCGTAGCGACGTTGTCGGAGCTGCTCGATGTTGGAGGTCTTCCAGACAAGAGTGCTGGTCCCCAGGTAGCTGTCCATGGTGACTCCATACAAGAAGTTTCGCAGCTGTTTGGAGGTGACATGAATTCCAAAGGTCTTCTCCAGTCAGGCTGCGACTGGAGATGACTTCATATTTTGGTGTACATGAAGGTGATGGGCGAGAGCCAGCTCCTGCTTATCGAGGAACATCTTGGGTATCTTCCGCTCTGGTACTCGTATCCACGTCTTCTCTCTGGGCTGCGTACTCTTTACTGATATGTGGCTCGGGCGTCGGGCGAGGTGTTTTTTTTGCCTCGCCCTCCTGTATATAACATGACATGACAATGAAGCGCTGCTGCAACGGTAACGCGTCACAGCGCTTTGCAGCGCGTCATCGCGTGGTCCGAGCGCTGCTTCAAAAGCTCTCCTTCAAGCATTGGAAGGGAGCCTTTTTGTAGGTTGGTATAGGTGTACGTACTGTCACCGAAGTGAAGGTAGCCGGTGATAAGGCAGGAGAAATGTGCCTTCTAAACAAGGACTGAAAAACACGGGAAAGTGGCGGAAAAAGAACCGTTGCATAGAGTAGAACCAAATAAAATCTCGATGTGCTACAAATGAGAACTAAGCTTTGATTTCCAGAAGAATGGTGAAATTCCGTTCCGACGTCCAAGGTGCTGCACCCGCTCACGTGAGACATTACTGTGATATTTCAAAATTCCGAAAAATTGAAAATTTGAATTCTCCGCATAAGTGACAAAGTGATTCAGAAGGGTGTGGTTGTCTCGGGGCGGGGCATGTGGTGGGATCTATTGTGTGCAATATACATACGGGACGCTTAGCGCAAGATTGAGAAAAACAGCCCCTTAGCGGAAAAATGCTAAAAAAAAATTAATTGCTCCAGATTGTGACTGAGGATCACCGAATCGCCTTCGCAAGATTAGAAAGAGGATTCTTTGCGTTGAATAGCCGTAAAGACACTTGGAAAAGGTAAGCACCTTCATGTCCAAAAGATGGAGGGGCGTGGCTACGTGCAGTGCTTGAACAAGGGGTAGGATGCGTTTTCTAAAAGATATTTTCTTTCGTGGTGGACAGAGGCATGAATACAACTGTCTCAATACCTCCCCCCCCTAAAAATGCAGCAGAAGCCACGTTCCGATGAAGTACGCGGCCACGCCCACTCCCTTTCTGGGATATGGAGTATAATTGTCACATAACAGTTCTATTGTGTTATGCATGTGATCCATGTATTGTTGGTTACTTTTTTTGTATGAAGCGTGAATAAAATCAATACGAGGGGGTCAACCAGTTTGACAAAAGCAAACTCATGTACATTACAAGATACAAATGCTCTTTCCCTCTGGATTGCCCTAGTAATGACTGCAGACTCCATACCCTTACGATGGCAAGGGCGTGGTTTGCGTACTTCATGTGAACGTCGCGGCGGCTGCGCTTTTGGGGAGGAGGAAGTAGCCGTCTCTTGGTGAGGATGGTCATGCCTTCTTCCAGGGCAAGACAGGATGAGAGTATTTATAAGAATATTTCAGAAAAAGCGTTCGAATGAAGTACGCAGCCGCGCCCTCCCCTGTGGTATGGGGAGCAGGGCACGTTCTGTCGCTGAGGGGAATTTCCGGGGAATACGACCCCAATCCCCACCCCGCTCCCAGTTCCCTCATTTGAAGCGACTCCAGTTCTCCATCCTACCTGCCACCTTCCTAGATCTTCCCAACCTTTTACCTTTTTCCAGCAAAACCTTTTTCCTTTTTCCTTTTTCCGGTATCTTCCGAGAATTTTCTACTTTTTTCTAGAAATTTTTGCTCTCTAGCGAGCAGGAGGTGGGGGGATAGGAATCATATAGCACACGTGATACGGGAGAAACCGCGAAAAGTCGGATAGAGTAAGAAAAGCTTTCTGCAAACCCCTCTCGAAGGCAAATATGATCTCCCCCTCCCTCGCAACGACGCAACAACGACCCCTCCCCCTCTAGCGTCCGTGAATCAAGAAAAATCAACTATCAAAAAAAATTCTCTCAGACCAAATACAACCCATCTCGAACCCGCATCCCGCCGAGGATTCCCCAACGTACGACGTGGTCTGGTGAGGAGTATACTGGGGTGATAAGGTCTGGTATTACCGTATACTGGAGTGTGTTCCACAACTTCTTATGCGAACCGACTCAGGGAGAGGGGGGGCGGGAACCTGTCTGCTGAAATATTTATAGTAAAAGTATAATATTTTAGTCTTAATCTCAATTTTATATGTGTTCTGAGTGGTTAAACAGATGCGGGTCGCCTACTGGACGGAGTGGCCGCAGTGGATCAAACCACTTGCATGATCGTAACAGTTACCCAGTTACCTACATCACTATCCTAGGGACTTCGAGACAACTCTGCCTCCAGGCGAGTACTGTAACCAATATAGCGGCAGCGTATACGAAGGCAAATGTTATGGCCAGACAGTCGTGGTGAGAGATGATGGTATGTTCACTTAAAGTTGCTCCTAAAACTGCTCCTAAAGCTACTAAAGAAGTACAGTCTTTTTGCTGCGGGCGCTGAGGCGCTTCAGGGGAGGAGGGTGGTCTGGCGCAGCGCCAGCTAATCTCCACCAGTTGGGGAATAGGCTGGCGCCACGCTAAACCCAGCTCCCCTGAGACGCCCAGCGTCCGCAGCGAACAAGTCTGTAATTCACGGTTGATCCACTAGAAATCGTAAAAACGGGTTCTGCCGCAAGAGCAGAAAGTAGCGGTGCTGGCAAGCAGGAGGCGGAACATTCTGCAGAACCTTTGGAGATTATTGAAATGAAAAATCAATATGTTTTTTAGGACGGGCTACCGTGGAGGTACACGGTTTCCAAGCAGTCGCTATTTCACTCCGTTACCGGCTCAGGAAAGGTGGCTTTGTAGCGAAAATGGGACCATTGTCTCTCGAGAGCTACGACGCTGCTGCTTTTTTATTATCGCTCACTGAAGGTGTG